TCAGGGCGCCTGGTCTGCGCCCGGTCTGCGCCCCCTCTGCGCGCGGTCTGCGCCCGGTCTGCGCCCCGTCTGCTCCCGCTCTGCGCGCGGTCTGCGCCCCGTCTGCGCCCGGTCTCTGCCCGGGAGGCCAGCCCCAGCTGCGGCTCCTGCTCTGGGTCTGCACGGTCTGCGCTCACAGGGATGCTCCCGCATGCGCTCCGCCTGCGCTGTCCTCCTTATGCACCGAAGCTGACACGTGGAATGTTCGCATCGTGGGTAAATGCTGGTCTCCATGGAAACCTGACTTTCATAGTGCCAGGCTCCTATCCCACGATTTTCTTTTTTTAAAGAAACAAGTTTACAGGCTACAATTTTCATTCTCCGTACGGCATGAGCCTAAGGTGTCCGTGTACTGCTCTGGGTGTTCACACGAGATTTCTTTCTTTACCGTTTTGTGGGTCTGGCATTCTTAGCGCGACCACATCTCGCGTTGGACAGAGAGCGGCTCTGTGCGGGGTTTGCAGACACTGTTACTTTGGGGAATTTGTTTTCCTGGGTGACGCAAGGAAAGATTGAATTTCTGTGAAACTACTCCAAAGCTGCATTTGGAAAATTCGTAATTTACCCGACCCTCCAGCCATTGAGAAAAACACCTTTGACCCAAATATCATCTTCTTAGAAAAGATGATCTCAAAGCAATCCAATAGAAATACACCACGATATATATTGCATAGAGGGGCAGTTTTAAATTTACTAGTAGACGCATTAAAACAAGCAACGTGTGAAATTAACTTTGATAATATATTTTCTTTAGTCCATTTTGTGTTCAAAATAGCATCGCAAGTAACCAGTATAAAAAAGTGTTGAGATATTGCACATACTCTTTCACGGTCGGTTTTTGGACGGCAGTGTGCATTCTAGAACACTTGGCAGTTGGAACCACCCACAAACTAGCTCTGAGAACCAGGAGCTTTGCTGAGACGGAACTTGAAGGGGCCAGAGCCAGCTTCCCAGGAAGGGCGCAGAGCACACTCCCATTTCAGAGATTAATCTGAATCGTGTGGTCTGAGCACATTTGCCGTATTTTCCAAAACTCCAACAAATGAAAAAAAAGAGTCCCAGATCTTTATTTTGCAGAAGGCCCAAGTTCTGGGGCCTCCAGTGAAATGTTTTGAGGATTTTTCTGCCAAATAAAAACAAGGTTGATTGTTTGCAGTATCAAGGGAATGCTTGGCAGCTTAGCATTCGCAAAACATCTCTTTCATCGGCCTGGGGAGGAGCCCATCATCTCCCCGGGGCTTCATCCAATGCCTGCCCCCACCCCATGCTGTGCTCCAAGCTCATGTTGTGGGGCTCACCTGCACCCCATCTCCAAGACTGCTGCTCCCAAGGTCACCTCCACGGAGCTGGTCACTGCCGCTCACTCCTGCCCAGGCTTCTCTGGGAGGAATCCACCCTCCGTCCCAGTCCCTCAACCTCTGACCCGGCCCCTCCCGGCCCCTGGCCCGGGTCCAGGTTCACCTTTCTTCTTGCTCACCTGGATTACTGAACCGACTTCCTCGCTGGCCCCTCTCCAATCCCCGCCTTCTCCCCAGTTTGCGTCCACACTGCTGCCAGGGTGAGCTGTAAAATATAGACCCACTCGGACCACTTCTTTCAGTTTCAAGACACTTATGGACCCCTCCCTGTTGTCTACACAGTGGATTTCCAGCCCTTTCTATAAGCAGAACCCCAATTCTCCTCAATGAGGTGTTACCGAGAGCCCCAGGATATAAAACAGGTAAAGCATGAGCTGCTCTGGGGGCAGAGGGGCAGGGACAGATGCCTCCGGGCTGCCAAAGCCGCCCACCCGGACTGGGGCCCACGGCCGCTGCCGCGATCCTAGAGCAGGGTGGAAAGCATAGAAGGTCCCCGTGGAAGCCGGGTACAGCCACACTCCTGGTGTCATCGCCTGCACATAGCCCCCTCTCCCCCCGGAACAGAACACACGTGACCCTGATGAGCCGGGTGTTCCTGCGGCTTCGGCCCGCTGTGAACTCCTGTCCGTCCCCGTCCGGTGGGATCCTGGCTGCCCCCAGCTTTCGTGCCTCCCGACCGACAACCCAGATGAACTCGCCTTCTGAACTGGGCCTCCCTCCTTTAGGGATCCCGTTAAGGTCACTATTTAGCCACTTGTCACATCTGTGCCCTGGATGTGTTTCTTCAGGCAACGTGGTGCGCAACGGCCCCAGATGATCTTCTAACCCCGTGTCACAATGAAGTTAAGACTGTGTCCTTTATTCAACCAGCAACAGGTGAGCGAGCCATCCTCGGCTCCACCAGGAAGTCTGAGAACATCCAAGGGGAAGCAAGAGGCCAAAGCCCTCAGCTGGGAATTTGAGTCCTTGGTTCTTGGCCTGGCTCTGCTCCGAACTTGGGTCTCCCCATTCAGCCCTACACTGCTACAGTCTTACTGCTCTTGGCATAATGATAACGATAATTCTAGTGAGTGGCTAATATTTATAAGACAGCAAGCACACACCAGGCACCGCAGTAAGCGTTTCTAATGGATTAACTCATTTTTGCTTTACAGAAAGAAGCATAGTGTTTACTGGATGGAACTCCTGTTTTCCAGTGACATTTGGAGCTGAAAGAAACCCACGGATGATCTCCTGCAGGGATGAAGCAGCCAGAAGTCGAGGGTGAAGCATCCAGTTGAGGGGACTCTGTGGGTCACAGCACAGGCTAGGGCAGGGCTCCTGCCTCTGGGATACCCGTGTTGTGTCCCCCGCAACGCTGCTTTGCGGTGACAGGAAGCAGCTGGTATTGGCCGCAGCCAGATTTCCAGGCAGGGAAATTTCCAACGTGCTTTCCAAAGCTTTAACAGAGAGATAGGACACTCGGGTATCAGTACGACTCAGTTCACGCCCAAATAGATCGTAACTTAAATTATTCCGTTTCAAATTGAATTTGATTTTTTTTTAAAGTCACCTCTTGGTAAAAATTGCCATCACAAAATCATTTTTCTGACGATGATGTGAGTAGCACCAACAGAAATCTCGGGTAGAGCAGCTGCTTCTCCTCCACTTGGGATGTGCTGATGGGCCCACCCAGGCAGGGGGGGCTCCCGGACAGGGCTCGGCCATGTGGCCACAAGGGCACGGCCACCACGGCCCTCAGGCCGACACTCAGTCATCACGTTCCTAAAAGCACTCCATCTCACGCAGCTCAGGCTGCGATACCGGGTTCCTACACCGAAACACCACAGGCTGGGGCTTAAACAGCCATTGCTTGTCCCAGTTCTGGAGGCCGGGAAGGCCAACACAAAAGTGCCAGTCCATCCCCTTCCCAGGAGGGCCCGAGACGCCCGCCTCCTGGCCGTCATGGCCCCACATACTCCTCTTCCTGTGTGGACACCGATGCCATTGTGGGGCCCCACCCTCCGCCTCTGACCCTGATTACCTCACAAAGGCCCACCCCCAAGTACCAACACACGGGGTGTTAGGGCCTCCATCTATGGGGCGGCGGGGGGGGGGGCACAGCACATGCCCCAACCTCAAGCGCGTGTCCTGAGAGGCAGCATGGCATCGTGGAAAACCTCTCCCAGGGACCAAGTGAACTTTGGGGACCTCCGTGAACCCGGCTAGGTCTGAGATTTTTCTTAAGGACATGTTATCAGTTCCTACCGGGCCTGCCTGGCCGTGTTGGTGCGAAGCTCGGATGAGATGCCGGTGACTCACAGGGTGGGTCCTGCTCCATTCTCCCCTTTCAGGAGTGACCATGTTTGGAGAATATTGCCCAGAACTCCTTCTCCGTCGTCATACCCCAGACAAAGGGACATAGCCAAGACCCACAGCACAGGATAAACATGACAGAGCCTGCTTCAGAATTACCCTAATTCCTTTCTTTTCTTAAGCTGGGAAATCTGCAGAAACTTCTGTAAACCCATATATTCATTTAAGTCTTAAAATTCTTAACTGAGGCCTAGCAGGACATCAACCTAACATTTACTAATGCACTGAAGTGCTAAGCCCTTGGGGCTAACTTTATCTGACCCTCAGGACAGCTCCCCTCCTCCATGCCCCTTTTCCAGAACGTCCTAGACCACACACCACACAGGTGGAGAGTGGTGGAGGACACTCAGACTCACCTTTCCAGGATCAGATCCAGTCCTTTTCCCCGGAGCCCAGGGAGCCTCAACAAGGAAAAATAATCTCCCAAAACTGGAGAAAAAGGACCAAAAGCAATGGATGTGGGTTCAGCGCGGTAATTCGCTGATGCTATTTCAGAAGTGTGCACACAACATTCATATTTTGACAAAAGCAGTAATTGCTACACTAGAGAAAAAATAGACCAGTCTTTTTCCTGTTCTAAAGTTAAAAAAGAAAAAAAAGTAAAACATTATCGGGCTTGCTAACTTCACCGGCAAAAGAGTGGGGAAGCAGACGAATGTGCTTCAGCGGCCGCTCACTTTACATATACACTGTGGAGGCGCACGCAGGCACCCCCTCCCCCCCGGGGGGCACCTCGACCATCCCCCGCGTTCCATTCTGGAGTGATGCCTTCACGCGAGTTCTTTTAAAAATCCTGCTACTTGGGGCGCCTGGGTGGCTCAGTCGTTAAGCGTCTGCCTTCAGCTCAGGCCGTGGTCTCAGGGTCCTGGGATCGAGCCCCGCATCGGGCTCCCTGCTCCGCGGGAAGCCTGCTTCTCCCTCTCCCGCTCCCCCTGCTGGTGTTCCCTCTCTCGCTGTGTCTCTCTCTGTCAAATAAATAAAATCTTAAAAAAAAAAAAAAAAAAATCCTGCTACTTGAAGGTGTACAAATGAGAGTTCAGTCCCTGCCTGAAATACTGGGGGCTCCTAATGCACCCCCGGCTTGGGGGCCCCCTGACCCCTGCAGGGAGGCCAGTGGCCAAGGCGCATTGTGAAGTGGCCAAAACGTCACAGACACGGACCCTGGGGTCGGGGGTCGGGGGTCGGAGGGCGGGAGGGGGGCCGCAGCACTGCGGAGACGGGACCCTCACTCACACGCCAGGCGCGAGCATGGAGGGCTTGGGCCGCTTCTCCCCGCGCTCGGTGCTGGACCCGGGCGGGAAGCGTGCGTCCGCAGCGCGGCTGCGTGGGCCCGGGGTCAGGACGGAGCCGTGCCTGGGCTCGGGGGCCGCGACCCGAGGCGAGGGGAACGAGGCCGTGGAGCCCTGGCCCTACCCGCGCTGCGCGCCCACCTCGCGGCCTTGCCGGCGCAGGTGCTCCGATTCGCCAAGGGAAAGCCAAAGCCTGACCGACATGGCAGCGAGGCCCCCGGACGGCGCCAGGAGGCCCCGGCCCCGCGGCCGGCACCTGGAGGACGCCTGGGGCGAGCCCCGGCCCAAGCCTCAGCCCGGAAGCGGCGCGCACAGCCCCGCCTGGCGGCGGCAGCCCCACCTACAGCCCGGAGGGCCTCAGCCGTGCCCTCCGGCCCAGGGAGACTCGTCCCCGCTTTACCGGGAGGGAGCGTACACGCCCCTGAGCGGGACCTTCAGGGTGGAGAGGGCGCAGAGCGGAGACCAGTGGGCGGTGCCGCTGTGCAGGGGTCCAGGTCACTGGTCCCAGTCCTCCGCTGTCTCGGAGAAGTCTTCCGTGCGGTCTCAAGAGTTCAGGGCGCAGTCGGCGTGCGTGTGCGCCCACAAGAGGGACGGCAGTGATCTGCTGGAGTCGTTAGCCAGCCCGCTCTCCCAGCCCTCAGTCTCCAGCAGAGAGATTCAGAGCCCGCACACCCAGATCCTCAAATGCAAGCTGGAGGAGGCGGTCATATCCTCCAGGGACCAGAAGATCGTGGCCCTAGTGCTGACCCGGCTCAAGAAGGCCCAGAGAATGCGGGAGCTCCAGCAGCAGACGGCCGTAGCCTGGGAGGAGCTGAAGCGCTCGGACCAGAAGGTGCAGATGACCCTGGAGAGGGAGCGCAAGCTGCTTCTGCAGGAGAGCCAGGAACAGTGGCGGCAGAAGGAGCAGCGCGTGCGGCGGCGGGACGGCCTAGCCAGGAACGCTCCCCGGTCGGAGCGCGCGCGCAGGGCGCTGCTGGAGAACCCGGAGGGAGCCCGGGCCGTGGCCGAGCCGGCGCCCGCGCCAGCGCCCCAGAGGCAGAGCCGCGAGCTGCTCCTGCAGGAGCCCGAGAGGATGGTGCAGGGCCTGCGGGGGCAGCTGCCGGAGGCCTCTCAGCGGAAGAGCCTGCACGCCATGGAGCCCCAGGAAGAGGCCCAGGAGGCCAACCTCAGCTCCCTCGTCAACTACCAGGCCCGGAAGGTCCTGCTGGACTGCCAGGCCAAGGCTGAGGAGCTCCTGAGGAAGCTGTCCCTCGAGCAGAGCTCCCAGCGGCCCCATGAGGCCGCGCGAGGCCTGATGAAGGAGCGCCCGCGAGAGCTGAGGGACAGGGCGCAGAAGCAGGGGGAGCAGGGGGAGCAGGGGCCGCAGGTGCGGCGGCGCGCGGAGGCCGCCGAGGAGCGGGCACGCCGGCACAGGCGGCTGCTGGCCCAGCTGGCCGAGCAGAGGGGACAGCAGGCCCGGAGCAGCGTCCAGAGGAACGTCAGGGACAAGGTGCAGCACATCCACGAGCTCAGCGTCCTGCGGGAGCAGAACCATCACATCCTGAAGCTGAAAGCCGAGAAGGAGGAGAAATGCCACATCGAGGGCATCAAGGAGGCCATCAGGAAAAAGGAGCAGATCTCCCGGGAGAAAGACGCCACCTTCGAGGAGTTCCAGAAGATCTCCAGGGCGTCCAGGAGAGAGCACGCGGGCGCGCTGGCCGGCAGCTTCCTGGACTCGAGGGCGCGCGAAGCGCCGCGCGGGCCGGGGCCGCAGGGCTGCTGAGAGCTGGGGGGATGCCCGGCGGGGCCTGCTCAGGGGCGAGGAGAGGCGGGCGACCGATGCACTCTCTAATCTGATTATAACTGAGCACTGGTTTGGAAAAGTATATAAAATAGCTGCACTTTCCTCTCATGAACTGGTTCATTGATTGATTCATGCGGGGAGCTGAGAGGGTGGGGTCATTTAGGAAAATGACTGGTAATCTTAGTTTCCATTTAAATAGAAAAGATGAGCTCTTCAGTAATCTTGGAAGCACACATCAGGCCCATTGTGGAGGAACTAGAGAAAAATCTGCAGGACGGGATTCAGTTCTTTTCCTTTTCCAGAACCTGCAAATTATAACTGGTACTTCAAAGGGTTGCTTTGAGGGATGATAAATAAAATAATCAATGGAAGGTGAGGTGTGAGGTACTGGTCATAAGGAATCTCCAAGAAAGAAAAGAGATTGTGTGACTGGGTGAGTGGGGCGATTTTTGTAAACAAGTGGTTTTGGGAACCCTGCATACTACATCCCCTCTTGGGTGTTCCTAACGCACCTGAAAGTTTTAAAGGCTCTGAAAAGGCCTGCAGTAAAGAAATTCAACTGTTCAACCTAGAGTTTTTCACAAACTGTGGCACTCCTCTTTCCTTGGATCACTCCATGGAATTGGTTTTCTGGGAGGTGTTTTTGGTGCTTCATCGCTTGGCCACAGCCCCGCTATCCAAGAGCTCACTGGAATCTTCTGCTCTGATTCTTTGCACACTCCGCCTCTTTGGCCAGTCCTGTCCAGTCTTTTGGAACAAAATTCAATTGGAATCTATTTCTCCTCTGTCCCTCCTGAAAGAGGTGGGGGATGTCATCTGTCTACCCATATGGTGTCTAATTGACCTCACCAGCCCTGAATGAATGACTCAGCATGACTCAGGAACATGACATTTTCACTTTAAGGAGCTACAAGCTGAGTAGGATTTAACCCATCACATCTCAAAGCTTCTATCAAAAAATCATACAGGTTTTCTTCAAAGCCCCTAATGTAAGATTCGTCTTTAGAAAAGTGGGAAAGAATGAGCCTGATTGTCTTACTAGGATTTTTTGAAATGACATGAAAAGTAACCTGGCCAGGGATTTTGTTCAGAGGTCAGCATGAGAGTGAGTCCTAGTCTCATTTTTCTTTTTATTATTTATTTATTTGAGAGAGAGCGTGGGAGTGGGGGAGGGACAAGCAGACCCTCACTGAGCACGGATCACAAGGCGGGGTTTGGCCCCACAGCCTCGAGATCATGACCTGAGCCAAAATCAAGAGTCAGTCCCTCAACAGACTGAGCCCCCCAGGCGCCCATATTCTTATGTAGTGGGGACCAGAACTTCCTCCCTCTTTCGTGTCCCTCCCCCGACCTGGGAGCCCCCAACGAAGCCTCCTTGGGCCCTCACTCCTTTGCTCAAAAAATGCTCCTACATCTTGCCTCAATTTCCAGTCTACTCTCTCCTCTTCCCCCGAGTTAATCCGCTGTTTCACCACACACCGGGTGCATTCCCGGCCTTGTGGGAGAGTGCGTGATATTTCAGACCTCCCAAGAATCTAACTCCCCCTCTTGATGCAGCTGATCTATGGGGAAGTAACCTTCCTGAGCCTCAGCTTACTCATCTGTAAAACAGACTTAAAATTCGTACTTGGGAGGGATGAGTAAATCAGCATAAGGCTCTCGGCGCAGTGCCCAGAGCCTAATGCAGACCCTGTCCTTAAATATTGCGTTTTATTCTTGATGATATTTGTGAGTTCCTATCCCCCTGTCTTGACCCCCTTTTGTCAGACCCCGATAGGTGTCCCTGAGCCTCATTCCCATTCTGCTTCCTCTGTGAAATGTGGGGCACCCTGGCTGCCCGCCCTGATGTCACCCTTCCCAGACAGACTGCCTGCATGGGGCACTCAACCATTGTGCCGGTGGGGCACATCCATTTTGCGATCCAGGGTCACTGTTTGAGATTTCATACCATGCTGGTCAATATACAGTCAGGAAAACATTCGTCAAGCAGAATGTTTTGACCCCACATCCATATCCTATGACTTTACCCCCACTAATATTCTTTGCTCTCTCCTCCAAGAAAGAAATGCATACTGTCATTCTTTTATCCAGTTGTCTGCGAATGTGACTGGAAGCAATAATCAACAGAAAATAAAACTTTGGTTGGAATATATTTTCCCCTATTTCTACCTCAGAATAAATAAATGTATTTTCCCAGATACACATATCTGTGTGTAAACCCTGAAAATCATCTGTGAAACAAACTCGAGAAGACTCTGAACGTGGACAGAAGGCCAACAGACCACGGACTCAGGACCCGAGGAACCGTACAGAGCAAATGCTCTGGGTTTCCCTTCTACCACACACAGCCCAGACCTGGAGTGGAAGAAGCAGGTGACCCAGAAACATCAACGAGTCTGCTGTCTCTAGCCAAATAAGGAAAAGGGCAGCCTAACAAGACAGAAAACTTTCAGACAGTAACTCCACTCCAGCTAAACACCGCAGCAAACCCCATGACCCCCACCCTACCCATGCCCTCAAAGACCTCTGCTGTCATCAGGTTGAAATAAGGAGCTCCCCAGTGTCAGTGGAGACCAAATAGGGAGCTGAGACTTACCCCCACTCACCGCCACCTCCACCACAATCACCACGACCACCCACCCCCCTGCCCACGACCTCTATGACCACCCGCCACCATGCCCACCACTACCATGACCACCCACCACCACCACCCAACCCCATGCCCACCACCACCATGACCACCCACTGCCAAGAACCACCACCACCCACCACAACCACCACCAACTCCACCCACTACCACCATGACCACCCACTGCCAAGAACCACCACCACCCACCACAACCACCACCAACTCCACCCACTACCACCATGACCACCCACTGCAGTCATCACCGTCCACCCCCACCATGACCACCCCCGACTCCCCCACCACCACAGTCACCACCCCCACCCATCACCAACTCCACCTACTACCATCCCCACCCCCAATCACCATGAACACCCACCACCACAACCATCACCACCACCATGCAGTAACAGGGTGCCCCTCCCTCTTCCTGCCAGGTGGTGTCAAAAAAGGCTAGTGGACAGTGAGAAGTTTCATCACCATCCAGCAGCCAGGGAGTATCCATGAGGCCCAAGGGGAGTGAGTACTCCCACCTCCACTCAGCAGTGATGAGGAACCCCACATACACTGCAGGTGACAACGGAGCCTGGGTGGGAAACTGGACTTCTCCCTCCACTGGGCAGTAATGAGACCTCAACCTCCCTCCTTCTGGAACAGTGAGAGAGGAAACCAGATAAAACAGAAGGTTTAAATAAGGTCTAGTCTTAGGAAACTCAAAATGACCAGGTTTCAATTGAAAATCACTCATCATACCAAGAACCAAGAATATCTCAAATTGAATGAAAAAGACAACATGAGGATAACAAGTTGGAGGAATACTAAAGATTCTACAGCAGACACAATAAAAATGCTCTGTAAGCAATTATGAACACACTTGAGACAAATGAAACAAAAAAAAAAAACAACACCTAAGTCTTGGCAAATAGAAAGTCTCAGCAAAGAAATAAAAGGTATAATCACCAAATGGAAAGTTTACAACTGGAAAACACAATAACAAAAATAAAAAGCCCAGGGGATGGGCTTCACAGCAGAAAGGAACAACAAAAATCACCCAATCTGAGAAACAGAAAATTTGCCGAAGGGGGAAAAAAAAAAAAAGCCTTGTGGACCTGTGGGCCTATAACAAAAGATCTAGCGTTCAGGGTGGGAAGGGAGGAGAAAACCGGCAGGGCTGAAGAGGTACTTGAGGAAATAATGGCAGAAAAATTGACAAACTTGGTAAACGAACTAACCTTGCATATTCCGGACATTGTGTGAACCCCCAAAAAAGGGCAAACCCCCAGAAATGCATAAAGACACATCATAGTCAAATTTCTAAAACTGAAGTAAAGAAAAAAATTCTTTTCTTTAAAGATATAATTTATTTATTTGAGAGAGAGAGAGCAAGAGCAGGGGGAGGGGCAGAGGCAGAGGGAGAAGCAGACTCCCCGCTGAGCAGAGAGCCTGATTCAGGGCTTGATCCCAGGACCCTGGGATCATGACATGAGCCGAAGGCAGACGCTTAACCCACTGAGCCACCCAGGTGCCCCCAAAAGAAAAAATATTGATCAAAAGAATGAGAAAACAAGCCCCAGACTAGAAGTATTTGCAAAACAGTGGCTATATTTTAATATAAGAGGAAATCTCAAATTAGTCATCTAAGCTCCCACCTCAAGAACCTAGAAAAAACCAAAGTACACCGAAAGCAAGAATAAAATAACAAAAGAGCAGAAATCAAACTAAAAACAAAAACAAAGACTGAGTTCTTTGAAAAGTTGGATGAAATGGACAAACAAACAAACAAAAACGAGAAGACATAGACTCCAACATCATAAATGAAACCTCGATATCTCTATGGACCCTAAAGACGTTGGAACAGTAATAACAGGGACAGCTGCACACACATAAATTTGAGAACTTAGACAAATGGACCAAGTCCTCCAAAAACACAAACTACCACAACTCCCCCAATACAAAATAGATCACTTAAACAGTCCATACTGCAAATGAAATTAAATTCATAATTTAAAAACCCTCCCCCAAAATTTCCAGGCCCAGATGATTTCACTCAAGAATTTCACCAACATTTGGGTTGCCCAAGTGGCTCAGTGAGGTGAGCATCTGACTCTTGGTTTCGGCTAAGGTCATGGTCTCGGGGTCGTGGGGTCGAGCCCGGGTAAGTTCTGTGCTCAGCGCAGAGTCTGCTTGCCCCACTCCTTATGCCCTATCCACCCCCCCCACTCTGTGTCTTTCTGAAATTAATTAATTAAATAAAATCTTAAAAAAAAAAAAAGAATTTCACAAACACTTAGAACACTGACACCAATTCTGCACAGCCTCATCCAGACAATAAAAGAGGAAGGACCCCTTCCTG